AAGCACTACATTAGGCTCCAGTTAATCCTCAGCAGCAATCAGCGATGGGCACTGTAGATCACCGAGCATACGTTCAGTGTTACGCTTTGAGACAGAAATCTATCAGCATCAAAACCAAAAAATGTAAGATTAAGGAGACTACTTTCACTTACAACTTTGCAAGCAGTTTTAAAGGAGTTCATTCTTAATCTAAGAAGGGACACTAAGTACAGTTAATATTTTTTTATTGAAAGACTGCCACACTTATACAGTGTGCCTGCAGCCAAGTTTCATAGACAGTACGTAGAATTACATTAATTGAAATGCTGCTCAGACTCTTTTTCTTTTCCTGTAAGGGAACCCTACAGTCTAAACCAATTATTTTTACTTAACAAGTACAACAACAGCATCAGGACAACATGGCATCAGGATAAGACACTCCGACATAACTGCACAGACAAGAAGTTTAAAGTTTTAAACATTAGAATGATCAAGGAATACATTTCCTGTAGCACCAGATGGTCTTTACAAGGCCATTAGTAAAAGTACAGATTTAGCAAAGTATGATAACATACATTTTATATTTAGCATTTAAATACACAGTTTAGGCTTAAAATTGTCTGTCTTATTTATAGGTATTCTCTATACGGTAAGGCCCAATTCATTACAGTATTTCAACATCACCAAACATAACTGATAATAGAAACGGCAAACGCTTCCTCTCTTCTGCATTTACAGTAAGAAGTTTATGCGTACAAAAGCTTTCAAGGTATCATACCCCATGCTACAAATTTGCTACCTCTTGTAATATAGTAGGCTCCCAGCAATGAATTAAACATCTTCAGTGCCTCTTTGCCTAGAAGCACTCACAAACAAACATGGTATATGGCTAATCTATGGCACATAGTAGTGAGGACCTGTTATGTACGTAAAACACAAGGGCAGGCCAAATTCTGCAACAGCTCCTGAAGCAGTGGTTAAATGCCATTCAAGGGTAACTCACAGCTTACTGATGTCCATCCCCGTGTCCAATGCTTTCTAGTGCAGACAAGGCTTTACAGGTAACTTGAAGCATATTTCACAAAATGAAGTACTTAGTGCTACAAAACTTCATTCCTGCCACTTTGGAGTGGCATTCCAAAGTAAATCACAATCTTTGAACAAGATTGGAGTTAAATTTTTAAATTAAATGTGGTGTTAGCAAAAGAGAGCGAAGTACTGTCATGCTCCCTCTGAAATATCTTTCCTATCCATGCTGATCTACAAACTGAGCTGACAATACAACGTGCTAGTGGCTTTGCAAAATATAATACGTCATTCCTGTTGCACATTCAGTATGTTATCTTATTCACAAACTTGAACACGTAAGTTAAAATGAAGTAACCAAGGAATCCTCTTTAGTTATTCTCTGTGATCATCTGATATTTTAGCAAGACTCGAAGCCCTCCTACTTTGTGTCACACACAGGCATTGTCTAGCATATAAAAGTTAAGCCTCACAACTCATCTACACCACCAGAACATGCAATTACTTTAAATAGGACACATTTAACCCTGCTGCATACGCTTCCTGGCTAGGTTTAAAAATGTAAGAATTGGTGCCTAGGAGAAACTAAAACGCTGACTCTCGGGCACAGGTGCTTTAGCTGCAGCGGCAGCTATTGTTACATTCTTTGACGTTTTGAGGTAGTATTCTGAAACTGTAAAGCCAAGGTAGCCTCGCCTCTGCTGCAGGGCAGTAATCTTCAGTCATAAAGGGCAGCAGTGTCTTTCTGGCCATAATTTTTCATCACAGCTCAACTGACAGAACCAAGAGCATCTCACAAATATGTAACCAGTATCTCCAAACACCGTTCTCTTACCAGTAACAGGAAAAATTGCTGTTGCACATAGAGATTATTTTTTTAGTGATTGAAGGTAATGGCATCTACAAATCTGTATATATTCTACAACTCTGTAAAGTAAGTTTAATAACAAATACTAAGGGCTGACATTAAAACAGGTGCACTGTTATAGCTAAATTTAACATGTATCTAGTTGCACCACAGTAATTCCCCAATACAGCGACATTTAAACCAGTTTAAACCTCATTTACATCTGCTTAGCTCAGGATTACTTAAACTACAAATGCACCTGTATTACCGGCTGGCACATACCAGTACAGTTTTTGGTCGACAATTTAATATTTTGTTACTGTAAATCTTTCAGCGCCTCACTAGACCTGTAATCCAGTCTCAAAGAAAACGCCAGTTCAACAGTTTAACTCTTTGCTTGGCTTACTTTAGTCTTCAAGGTCACCAGACCTTGAGCTCTAATAGGGGAAGGAGTCGTGTCTGCTTCAAAAAGAGGGTTTGATTCAAAATACAATCATAACTAAAAGCAAAGTCAGCCAGCTTTCCAGGACACTCTCACACAACTCCTTCCAACAGCAGAGCTATGGAGACAATAGTAAACAACCTCAGCAAGGAGAAAGAAAATTTTCTACTGGCACAGGTATTTGCAAAGCTAGAGTCTGTGCTAGAACTGTGGCTGTAGGACTTCAGTGCATGTTAGTGCCCATGTGTTGGCATACACATTTTTTCCTAGCAAAGGTGAACGTAAAGATGAACTCATGCTTACTTTAAAAAAACATGGTGGTCACAACCGAGCCAAACACACACAAAGGCACTGTAATTAAATGCAACATGCAATTATGAGATGAGTTATAGAAACTCAAAGGAAACTCCCCCCTTGGAAATACTAGTACTGCTGCCCCAATATGAGAGCTTTAGTGCTGTCGCATTTCCTAGACGAAGGGGAGAAAAAACATTTAAAGCCTTTTCTTGTCAGAAGAAGGGGAACATATTTGTAAACTCTCCAACAAAAACAAAGAAAAACAAATCTCACAGTTAGGAGAAGATCGTTTAATTAATAAGTATTTTTGTACAGTAATCCAGAATACCACAATGACAAGTACTGTATCAGCAAGTTGCAAAACTACTTTTGCTTCAGGCACAGTCAAACAAGCCAGTTCATACTTGCCTTCACTCAATTTTAAGATGGTCCAACTGACTTGGCTTAAAGGGGTTTAGGGAGTACTTACCCTGACCCTTCCACCAACAAGGCTGGGGGTGTAACAATCTCCCACCAGAGGTGGTGATAAACAGCTGCGAATAACACTACCTTCAAGTGGCTCAACTGTTACCAAAATTAACATCTCTTTGGCTTAAAAAGTGTATTTAAATTGTACCTTCAATTACACAGTTTTAACAGGCAGGTAAGACATGTTTAGGCATAATGAGAAAGCAAGTCAAGAGTTTTAAGCAGCACAATAAAATAAAATAAAATAAAATAAAATAAAAATACGGAAGGTAGTTGCAAGAAGGAAAGATACCTAGCATGAGAGATCTGTATAAGGGAAAATGAGAACTATGTCCAAATTTAGGGCAGTTGTTCATGGAACTGCATCGGTAAGTAATTTAATACCCTAAAAAGTAATAAAAAATTCTGCCTAATGGCTAGAATTCTTCATTAAAAAAATACTGTGGGCACTTAATAATTCTTCAGCGTTGAGGACTTGCATTGTACGTTACAAAAAGCACAGAGAAGAGTTTTCATTATATTGTCTCAGTAGTACATACCAAGACACGTATACTAAGGAACATCTCCTCCCCCTTCTCTCATGACTGTATAAATATCACCGTTCAACATATTGTAGATGTACAATAGCTACACAATAAATACTGGATTGATTACACAGAACATTAAAAAGATAGCAAAAAACCCACGGAGTTTTTGCAATTTAACAGCAGAAAAATGGAAAAGCATATCATGTGACCTACCACTAAAAAACCAGAAGACATTTAAAAAAAGGTCTAGAAAACAGCAACCCTAGAGAAAAGCCTCTTAGCTATTCTCTTCTTGAGGACAACCTTGCAATTTACTCTACATAAAATGCAACAGCGAGAGGGAGGCATGATTTCTTCCCTCAAAAAGCAGCATAGCCCCGAAGACAGAATTAGAGGATGGACCGACCTAGAGTAACATTGACGCTGAAACCATGGGTCTGTGCGTGCCCTGTGGTCCAACAGCAGCACCTGCGGAACCGCGCACACAGAGAGGCCGCATGGCACCCCAAAGGTCACCTACTCCACCCTCCTGCTCAGAGACGCGCCGAGCACAGCAGGTTGCCCATGGCTGTGTGCACCTGGGTTTTGAGCACCTCCAGGGGCGGAGACCACTCTGGGCAGTTCTTCCAACATGTCAGCTATCCTCACGGTTAAAAGATTTTTCCTAACATGAAAGCAGAATTTCCATTTTTGCAACTTGAGTCCATTGTCTCTTCTCCTGTTGCTATGAACCTCCTAGAAGAGCCTTGCTCCACCTTCTCTATACTCTCGTTGGATATTTGCTCTTCTTAAGCTGAACACAGGCAGCTCTCTCAGCCATGTGTCTCAGCCTCCTAGCCGTTTTGGTGGTCTTCAACGAGACTCACTCCAGTATGTCAACATCTTTTTTTGTACTGGAGAGGCCAAAATTGGACACAACTCTGCATATGCAGTCCCGGAAGTGCCGAATAGACGAGAAAACGCACCTCCCTCAACATCCTTCCCACATTCTTACTAATACCGCCCAGTATGCAGTCAGCCTTCTTCACCTCCAGGGCACGCAGCTGACTCAGGTTCAAATTGCTGTCCAGCAGGTATGTGGGGTTGTTTTGTCCCAGATGAAGGACTTGGCATTTGCCTTTGTCAAACCTCATGAGGTTCCTGGCAGCCCATTTCTGAGGAGATCCCTCAATGGCAGCCCTACCCTCCAGCATACGATGGGGCTGATGTTCCCCCAGGTTTGGTATCGGCTGGGAACCTGTTGAGGATGCATGCCATTCCTTCATCCCAGGTTGTTAATAAAGACATATAACAGTATCAGCCCCAATATCAACCCTTGAGAGGCTCTATTAGCAATCGGCTGCCACTGGAACTTTGTGCTGCTGATCACAGCCCTTTGACGTCAACGGTCCCGCTAATTTTCCAGCCACTTTACAGTCCACCTGGCGAGTCCGTATTTCACCAGTTGGGCTACAGGGATGACATGGGAGACCACGCTGAGGGCCTTGCTGAAGTCCAGGTAAACAACATCCACTGCTCTTCCCATGTCCCCTGAGCCAGTCATCCCACTGTGTTATCCATTTGTTACATGATGCTATGGTAGCCTGCATCTGCACCGGTCTGAAATAGCTCTGTTCAAACTTTTTTTAGGCAAGCAAAAGAGATTTTGAACTCTGTCCTCTCACAGCCCTCAGAATCATCAGCAGCTCAGTTCCTTCACGGCAGGGGAGCAAGAACCGGTTCTAATTACTGACTGGAGGAATAAATAACTCAGAGGAAGTGATGTGCTGCCAGCAACCCAAGGCAATTTGCAGTGTCCCAGCTAACACAGTCAATTATTTCATCTGCTTTTTTCTTCTCCTAAGATACCGCGCACTAGTATTGTTTTTCTCCAATACTTCACAGCCCCCAAGGCTGTCATGACAACACTTTGAAAGACAAAACACAAAGTATTAATAAAATGCTATAGCAATCATAATTTACAATTTGTTGTACCACTGACAGCACTGTTAGCCTGAATGAGAGAGAACTGTCAATATCTCACTTCAAAAAGTTCTTCCCAACTAGGATACGTTTCTGTTTACGGTAGCAGTAGAAAGCCAAGTACCACATTTAAACATCTGTTTTGCTAATGCAATTTGATGTTGCTGGGACAGAAAGAAAACCTCTGATGTTAACTACTATCCCATTCTTTTAAAACAAATCTTTAAATACACATTGAACGTTTCTTCAAATCTATTCATATTTAGCTCAATGTGCTAACCTACTACTAAATCAAAACAAGCAGACAGATGCATACAAATATAAATACAACCACCTAAGCATGCTTAAGGTGCAATCCTATTGATAGGAGTGTTAAACCGATACAATTATACTTGTGTAGGTCCCTATAGACATTCTTAATAAAGATTTTTTTAATTAATATTTTTCCACCTCAGGTTTATGAAACATCACCTAGTTTACATTACTCAATATGATACTCCAGGAACTCTTTAGCATGAGAGTTTCACAATGTCCTCCCAAAATAAAGCTGGTTGTTTATAAGATTCCTTCTGCCTGCTGCCTGCAGTCACTGCCCACCAAGAAAATGCCATGCATACATCAAACAATAGTTTACAATTGGCCTACCTTCAAGACAGTAGCAGGTGATAATGTAATGATTTAGGCATTACTGCATACAGTTTAAGTTCCTGATCCCGTAGCTATTCCATCTGGGAAGAATCCCACACGAAGTCTCAAGTGACTTTGTGAAACTCACCAATCCAGAGGGGCTTTCATGACCAGGACCAGTGAATGTGCTTTTCAATGGCCTTCTGGTCCCCTCTTTCAGGTAATATCCTAACTACATCAGCACAAGACCAACTACAACATGCAGAAAATTATGCTGGTTTCATCAAGGAAAACATCTTTGGACTGTTTTCTTGTATATCAGTGTAGCACATCTACATTATAAATATGCACTGGCACGTACACATGTAAGAAAAAACAAAACGTATTGCTCCCCAGCAGAAGTGTCAATCTACAAAATATCAAACAGATCTAAACTGAAGCTTAACATAAACTCAAGCTTAACATAAACATACAGGTTTATGGGAAGGTTGTAAAGACTTTTCAGATAATTGTTTTTTCTCATGCTTAAAACTGCTTGTATGAGTTTAAAAGTCCAGGAGAGTCAAAGTTCTCTGATGCTTTCATTTGAACGGTTAATTATCAAATAAAAATAACTAAAAAAGTTATTTTAGCTTCTTCTATAAGTCACATTTAGAATCTTTGAAATCTATATGTTACCTGGAGGAGAACAGCACTATTCCAGGCTCAACCAGTGCACACACACACAAAAGCACAAAACTAAACAAAATTAACAACGGGAACATAGAGATACTATACTAGAAGCTGTTTAATAAGTCAACAATGTAAACACTCATCCCATTAACACATCCGCACTAGTAATTCCGGTCATCCGTCTACCTCAATGACTGGGACAAACCAGCATTTAGAAGCACTGGGGCCAGATCCAGAAGATGAAACCCAGATGTTGGACACAACAGCTCCCTCACTTGCCTGTGCTTAGCTCTCAAAGAAGCTGTAATTTTAACCCAAGTGCCTAAGATCCTTGCACAGTACAGAAGGAGGCTGGATATTTCAGCATGACATGGCTGAGCAAACAGGTAGCATGCTAAGCACGGCATAATCTAAAGTCAACACATTCAATGTGGAGCTGTCAACGTTTAGCTGCTAGGAAAGCAGTCAATGGGGAGGGACTCCCCAATTCTACTCCCAGAATGCCCAACGCAGGGATACAAAAAGGCTCTTTTCTTTCTGAGGATTCCCACCCCACAAACTTTCATGGTGGGTGAGTCTATACCATCTTTACTGAGCGGTGCTGCTAATTTTGTTTGCTAGTTCATTTAGTAACATAGCTGCTGACAGTGCACTTCTTATAAGGCAGGATGGTAGCTTTGAAGGGAAAAGACCATGGTTTAGTTCCTTCACTAGTGGGGAATTCTGTACCCGTATCTCCATCTTCCAGGAGAATGTGCAAGCTGCAAGTCAGAGCCTTCCCTTCTAGACAGTGTCTGTTCACAGGGAGGTGATTCGAGACAGGCTCACCAAGGGCAAGTCCTGCCTGACCAACCTAGTGGCTTT